CGCAATGATCTACATCTGCCTCGTATTCCAACAATAATTCACAAACGTCCCTATGTCCTTCGAATGCAGCCACTAACAATGGTGTCATACCATCCTTATCTTGATGATCGACTGCAGCTCCTCTTTCCAATAGAATTGTAACTACCTGTGACAGAAGATTATATTCGTTTAGTAAAGACAATTATAAAAGATTTTGCAAATAACTAATTTTTCGCATTTCNTATATATATATAAGTAAAACGTTTATTCTTATATTTATATTATATTTATATTTTGAGATTATTTTAATCTTTTATGGTATTTAATCAAACAATGTTTACATTAAGATGATTAAAGATTTGTAATGTTTATTACAATTTGCATAAAATCAATTAATCTATTAATTTTAGAAAGGGGAAAAACCTCTTCATTTAAGAAACTTTCTCATTTAGAGAGTTTAAAAAAAAAAAAGATTATTTTTTTCATTTTAAAAATTTTAAAAAATTATTTATTGTAACTTTTTTAATTGCAACATTCGCATGGAATTACATATATTTCTTTTTATTTTTTTTTTTCTTTATGGACTTTCTTGAGTCTAAGTCTTTCTAGGCTCAATTATCTCTCCGTACACTTACAATTTTCTTATACGTTTTAGATGTATATAGATCATGATATGTGGTAATAAAAAATAGTATGATACGATGGAATGATATTAAATAAACTTAAATTTCATTGTTAGAAATATGTATGACAAAAAATAATATTTGTGTTTATACAGCAATAAATCTTGCAAATATCTCATCCTCGCTTGTCCCATTACGCGTTTTTTTCGCGCGATAAACATTCACGAATACGAGGGGAACATAACTAACTTTTGCATAGCCATGATTGGAAGGGACACAGAGGGCAGCGACGCTGAGTGCAGTCCTTCCATCGTTATCGGCGTGATCGATCTCCGCGCCGAAGTCTAGAAGATGTTCGACGATTTCGCTGTGACCCATGTAAGCAGCGGCAATTAAGGCGGTTCTACCCTCGTCATCTGTTCTGTTCACGTCGGCGCCGTGCTGTAGAAGCGCTTTAACGATGTCCTCGTGGCCACCCCAAGCGGCTGCTCTGAGCGCGGTTCGTTGATCCCAATCGGCGCAATCCACCATTGCTCCATGCTCCAGCAGCATTTCGACTACCTATATTTTTATTTCACTATTTATATTCCTTTCACTTCTTATTACATTTCAATATTTGCAATCCCCTCCAATTAAATATTCATATGTATGTTAATACAACATTTTAACGATTTTACTTGTTTAACTATTAAAGAAAGATGATGATCGTCGAGGATAGATGATAATGTAATGTTTCTTATTGTTATCTTTCATTGATTATTTAATGATTATTTATTTATGTTTTAATGATTACCTGAGTATGTCCACCCCAGGCAGCAGCCCTAAGAGCTGTCCATCCATCGCAGTCAGCATGATCCGCACAAGCCCCAGCAGCCAACAGAACTCGTACCACATCCGCATAACCATGCCTGGCAGCAAGATTCAAAGGTGTTTGACCGTGACGATCAGTAGCTTCCAACTTTGCCTGCGAAATTAAAAATTCTAAAATATATGTGTGATATAAAGAAATTCAATTTATGTGAATATCTACTTCATATAGAATAGTTGTCAAAAGTTTTTAAATAAATTATATTTTTGTTTCGGTTTAAATTATATTTAAAAAAAATTCTTTTTATCAAAAATTTAACATTGTATTTTAAATTTTATTATATTATTATATACAATATATTATTATATACATTTTATTATATTATTATAAACCATACTATGTATATATATTATATTTTACACTATGTTTATATATTAAACACTTATTTTAAAAAATTCATTTTGAATAATGTATTGCAGCTGCAAACTTTTGACAGATATTATATTTATAATAATAGGAAAGAGGTAATGTTTTGGTTAATATTTTATAATCACTTTGCATTAAATCTAATTTATAAACAGAGTGTTTATAAAAATGTAAGAGCTTTGAAAGATCGATTCTAAAGATCAGAACAAATAAAAATATTGATATATAGAAATTTATTATTTGAGGTATATTTATTTATTTAAACAATTCAAATTTGCATTAGATGAAATGGAAGATATTTTAATTCTATTATCATCTTGCTTTATCGAATAAAAACTTAAATTACTATATAAATTATTTTCAACTAACATTTTTATACACAAATTTTTGTATTTGTTTCTCTCGATCCTTTAATACTAATAATTCTATATTTTTATAAAATACATCTTGTATATGTTTAAATCTTTTATAAATTGAGCTTCTTTTCATTGCTTCATTTCTTTCATTGGGAATTATAAGAATTTGTATATAAATGCATTGATCAACACAAATATGATAGAAACTGATTCATATTGTTGTATATATATTAACAAATAATTTTTATGTAAAATTTATATTATAAAATAGTTTTTATATTATGTTTTAAAAATAGCGAAAGTTTATTTTTTTCAAATTTATATATAGAAACATACACGTACATGATGAATAATGTTGATAGATGCTTTTAAAAATGTTTCCAATGATAGGTTGGTACAAATGATGATGTTGCGCTTTAAAAATGAGGATTCTTACCTGTGGACACGTCGCTAGAGCCAGCTCCAGCAGAGATGCATTACCATCTGCAGCAAGCGTGTGCAGTACTGTTCGTCCGCAAGAATCAGCTTGATTGATGTCCCCGCTTTCGCCGAGTAGTTCCGTTAATGGTTCGCTGGGAGATTCATCCATAGGGCTTACATCTTGCGAGACCTGCGACAAAGACCATTTTATCTGTTATATAAATTCCATTTCTACAAAGGAAATGCATTTAAAAAAAAAAACAAGATGAAGGAAAATTCACTTTGAAGAATCATAATTTAATTCTCTTTAATAATTTCATATTTCTTTCAAATATGACACAAACAATCTACTTTTTTTTATTTCCTAATTTTTTATTATTCTAGATTTTGAAAAAATTTGAAAAAACTTTGAAATAAAAATTGGATAATTAATCGATGAAAATCAAGATCCAAAAAGGATATTTATAAAGTATGTAATATAAATTTAATTTCAATGATCTTCAACTCGGAATTGCCTTTGTATTTCATTGAACATAAGAAAAAACAATGAATGAAACAGAAAGAAATTTTTTATTTTAATTCAAAAATTGAAATAAATGTATGAGTTTTTTTATAGATGTTAAGAGGAATACTCTGAATGATGGAAATGAATATTGAATAGCAAATTGCCAGCAAAATGGTCGATAATGGCATAGATAATAGAGGAGTAAAAAAACAATGTGATGTTCATATGCTTCCATATCATATAATAGAATTGCCAAATATCTAAACAAAATAGCTGTCAGTGACATCACAAAGTAGCAACGTAAAGAAACTGCAAGGAAACGATTTCCCTTATATCCGTCATGTAACACGTGTCTATATTATATTATAATATATATATAATATATTATATTATTATAATATATATTATATTATTATATTA